GGTTTTTCATTTTTTGTATTTGCGTTTGAATTTTTATCAATTTTTTCAAGCCAAACCATATTTTTCAGCAATTTATCTTGTAGATAAATTGTTGGATACATCTTGTACAGCTTCGATCGCTTTTTGCAAATTTTCTATGCTATATTGAACTTTTGGAGTCTTTGGCATACTGAAAATGAAACATTAAAAGCCATTTCAATATTTATGCCTGTAAATTGCAAAACAAGTCTAGCAATGAGCAACTTAAACACTGCTACTGCATGGTGGCAACACTCTAATAATAATTGCCCTGGGCAATAACTATACATTAACATATGGCAATAACTGAAATGATGGTGGGCAATAACTAAAAATATACAGATTTACGTGCAGTGATTACCCACCGTTAAAATGACCGTTAGAAATCAAATTTTATCAGTTATTTTCATTGATAATGAAGAAAACACTTATAATTTCATCATGACTATACACCATTAGTTGAATATTAAATAACTTGGAAAAAAAATTAACCTCTAAGCAAGTAATTCCTTAGTAAAATTGTTAAAGTCTTTACCTGTTTGAGTAACATTTTCACCCGTCTTGACAAAATCCGCCATAACTGTTTTTTTTAGTGTTTCCTGTTGTAAATTTTAAATCTACTGTACATTAATCACGGAGCCATCTACTTAGTAAATTCAAATCTAACTAGAGTGATTCAAAGTCAGCACCTGACAATATTATTCTTAAAGCGGGCAATCGCTACCAGTGGGCAATAACTCTCTGGTTTACCCTACTTTTGATGTAGAGTTCGCGGACTACGAAAGCTCTATGTTTATGAAAGTTGTATGTTTATGTTATATCTACCTGGGTAATGCAATATTAATTTATGCTTTGATTAGTTGGGGATACGTTATTATAACATTGTACGTACTTCACATATTATCCAATAATTCTTGTATAAAAACAGTTTATTGAAATCCTGAAAATCCTAAGTTTTCAATGAACTGTAAAACATAAGTATTCTTTTAAACTTTAATAATGAATATTTAACAATGAGTTAATATCCAACGATCCTTCAGCTAATATGAAAGAGTATCCTCAAAGAATGGTTGAAATATCGTTTGAGAGTAACAATGATTGTTAAACTTTTAAGGGCCGATTCGACCAAACTTATATCCGAGAATAACTCCTAATACAACTGGCACATTGACAGTTTTCAGTATGGGAAATATGTCAAATCTGACGATTTCTGAGATTAATATTTACTCTTGTTTGGTCGAATCCACCCTAAGTTAAGTATAAACTAGACTTACTTGCAGACTGTGCTTAATTCAACACACGACACTAGTTGGTCCTGCAGTGATTTTGTTATTTTTCGTATGTAGGTCTCCCGCCACGGTTAGAAACACAATGATAGCATATCAACCCGACATATATCTATGCTGCAGTGCTTACTGATAAATTGTACACTTTTTAATAATGAAATATTGACATGGCGGGAGGTAGTGCCCTTAATCAACCTTTTTTCAGTCGTAATAGAGATTGTTTTGAGTTACGAGTTGTTTTGAGATAAATACTGAAATATTTACTCTGTTGTGTTGGTGACCGATTCATATTGGTGTTATTTGATACGATAATATAGGCAAAAGTCTGATTTTCTATACTAATACTGCAAACTAAGTAGGTAGAGTATACAATGGCAAACTCACAGGAGTCACTAATTCAAACTCCCCAATAACTCATCTCTACTTTACCTCAAGGTTGACTAGTAGAGAATGCTAAGTTAGTTCTCTAATTGTAACTTTATTTCTTTTTGAAATAAAGTTTAAACAATTTAATCGCTATAAACCTGATTGATATTTATTACCCCTGGCTAGGATCCAACCTACAACAACAGTTAAAGTCGAAGTTGTTTAAAACTACATTATTGGGAACCGTTTGTTAAAATAGGAACCTCCATTATTTACTAAATACAATTTTTCAGTAGTTCAGTACGTGAATTTTGTCGTATTAGGAAGATACTTTATTATTTTGTTACAGGTCATTATAATTCTAACATTATTCTTAAGTAATGTAAAACATTTCCGAGATATGACAAAACAGACACATAACGTGTGTACTTTATGGCGTACAAGTTAACGATAAATATTGATTAGTATACACAGCTTTGCCTTTAATATGAATTAAGATTTAATGATTTAAAATATTGTCTTTTTTCTGATGGAAACGAATCTATAGAAATAACATACAATAGCTCTACATATTTAAACTATTATGGATGTTTCAGGTAGGTGTATGATAGTATGTGTTTGAATAAGACTCAGGGAAAATATATTTTTACCCCGGTTTTTAGAAAATAACACGCGAGCGATAGTTTTCGTGAAATACTAAAATTCAAAGGTAGGGCAAAGCTAAGTAAGTTGCTAAGGAATGGATGCTACTTATTGTTGTATGTATCATAGGTATTTAGGTATAGTAATAAATATTATTAAATCTCGAACTCACTGATTTATCATACACTTGACACTTCCAAAAAATCTTCAAATAACGATACAATCTCGGATAATATCTTTATCCGAATCGGAAAAAATACAGAGAATTGTTTACCTACATAGATAACACAAGATGTTTAAGATTTCTATCTATTGGTGCATAAACAAAAATAATATCACATATAGAGAGAAAAACTTACTACTTAAATTGTTAATAATTATAATGGAATAATAACATTTCAATAAATAGAATTTTAAATTAAGGAAAAGCCCACCTACACGTAAGTACTTTAGCGCGACTATTCCTTATTGTTAGCACTTGTTGTATGAAAAAATAATTTAAATAATTACTTAATTGTTATTAAATCAAAATTATAACATCCCTTTTTGCGTCAGGGGTTAATAAATAGGCCTCGAATCCTCAATGCAAGTTAAATAAGTTGCTTAAGAGCACGACTAACGGCTTTTTGTTCAGTTAAGGTTTATTTTAATCGTGACGGTTATTATTATTTCCTTTGAGTTTGAAATTTTCAAAAAGAAAGTATAGTAAAAGCTCCTAACTCACCTTCCACTGAAAGTGCAACACGCCCGCACTGCGCCCCGTTTTCAAACCAACTATGTCCTAGACCCCATCTATACTGTAAGTTATTGATAATCATCATCTACAATTATGTTGGAGGATATTCAGTGAGGTTCCGTATGTAAAACTCAATTGGAAATGACTTTGCAAAGGAAGAAAATTATTTGAAAACCTGAAACTTTTCCTATTTTCTCCGACTGAAGAATTGCTATTGTGAGTGAAATCGCAATATAGTGCATAGGATTTTTTGAAATTTTAACTTTCCCCGGGACTAACTAGGCCTTCACAACTTTGGTTTTTATGGTGGCCCAGCTGAAAGATCCTAGCTACACAGGAGTTACCAGTAATAGTGGCAATGTATTGGAAATCGATTATGGTTTTTGTCAGAAATGGAAACTTTAACTACATTTAAGCATTTTGTGAATTTGTCTTCGATGAGATGTGATGTGTATCATTTTATTTATTCTACAAAAGAAGGCCATTCCATCTGAAATTCAGTGAGGCCATCACAGAAAACTTACTTTTGCGGCCTCTATTAATACTATTGTAATCACTTCTATTAGAACGCTTAGGTAGGTATATTTATTCTAGATCTCATTCTTTAGAGCTTTTGTATTCTATTGTAAAACCATGAGTAAACTTCAAAAATCAAAATCATCGGCATCATTGAATAGGTTTCTGTATCCACAGCCTGAACCCAAATGAATATACCTATCTATCACTTTATCAAGCAAAGTAACATTGTGTGCACTCGTATGCAACGTTGAGTACTCTTCAAGTCGATGATTGTCAATTTTCCGATGAGTCAAGGTGACCCATGTGGAAAAAATCCAGCACTACAGACGAGGCACATCAAGCTTTACACTATGGTATCTTATGTGATTGTAATAAATGCGATATTGCAAAAAAACAATTGTGGTCTGATGTGGTGTTGCTGCACAAAATATTTGCCTAAGAAACATATTTATTTTGCATATTTATTGAGCATACTTTTATCCATTGGACGGGTTTATGTTCTGTTTTTGTGTTGCGTTGTATTGTTTTTTATGGTACATTTTTTCTTTCTTTTGTTCTAATACGATAATATTGTATTTCGTCTCTAAATCTTTGGGTAAAAGTCCACGTGAGGTCTAAGTAGTACTTAGTAGTATTTGCTCTGGTAAAGTTCCATATCTTAATAATTGCAACTCAAGATTAAGAGGATATCATCTATTTTCATCAATTTATCGTTCGTTCAATCGTTGGTTTCAGCCAAATGACGTCCACTGCTGGACAAAGGCCTCCCCCAAGGTTTTCCACAATGAACGGTCCTACGGTGCCCGCATTCAGGCTCCTCTCACGACCTTCACCAAATCGTCGGTCCACCTAGTAGGAGGCCTGCCCACGTTACGTTTTCCAGCCCGTGGTCGCCACTCGAGAACTTTTCTGCCCCAACGGCCTCTTTTCTCGTTGGTAAATTGTACCTAAACCTTCATAAAAATCTTTCTGAAGTGTATTTTAGATGAATTTTACGCAAGATAAACATTGTAACTTTTCGTCATTCAAATAAGTAGTTTCAAGTACTTGTGAGTAATTAATGATACACGTGATTTCCTTAGTACTTGCACTTAAGATAATGCTATACCTAGGCATACTAACTGGATGACTATTTCACTCAAATTGATATCAGTAATTCAAGGACACACTATGTATTATTTTGATATTTAAAATTTCCACTTAAAACATGAAAATTAAGTAAAGAACCGAACTTTTGTACGCATAAATACCAATAAATACTCTACAGCTTCTAGCTCATTTACAAAATGCTAAAGAATGGTTCAGTACCATTTAGCACAAGTATTTGAAAGATTTAGTTTACAAACTTTTTCGTCATTTGGCGCTTTCTTTTATTTTTATCAATGTCATAATCTTTGTCTGACAACGACAATTTCATTATTATTTTTGTTTCAACTGTCATAATCGCAAAATTTTACGCCCGAAAATGCAAATGCAAATTGAAAATCTAAAATTGTTCAAAGTCTACCGACTGCCCACCCTCTAGCATGGCGTGCCACACCAAATTTAACGTGAACAAAATCAAACTTGACGAGGAATTGGCTATCAAAGGTACTAAACTATATAATAATCAATAATATTAGGGGTTACGGTACCTTAAAGTTTCATGCTCACTAATTTGTTGAACCAATTATACTGCTAGACTGAATTCAAAATGCGAGCTTTCTTCCAATAATTGACTGAAAACTACTGAAAACTTAAACCTGTCAACATGCGGTACCAACATTCTGAAATTAAAAACGCGGTCTGAAATTCAATGAAGAAATCTGAAAGTAGAATAACTTCGATAAAGAGGAAATAAAACCTTAGAATCCATTGTGATCCTAAGAATAAAAGCCTTTATAAATCTTTGTACCTTGGTTTTTATTTAGATTTTCACAACTTTGAAATACCTCAGGCTCTCTGTTTAGACCATAGGGACCACATTGAACTGACGTTTCAGCTTCACCAACCAGGTGCCGGGGCACTGATTGAGCTAAGCGTTAATGTTCTTTGGCAGGTGCACACTTACTCGGCCCCAGTTTAGAGTCGAAATTCGACGAGCTCCGGTATGACATCGTCAACAAGATTGAGAAGGAGCTGGTGGACTCCCAAAACGCCCGCGATTACATCTCTCAGAAGTATGACGAGCTGTGCAACAAGATTCAGTATTTGACAGAGTTGGACGCTACAGTGACTGGTTTCAGGTTGGTAAACAATGTAGAAGTCATCCTTTGGTACACCTTTTTGTTTTGTTTCAGCCAAGTGACGTCCACTGTTGGACAAAGGTCTCCCTCAAGGATTTCCATGTTGCCTGGTGGTTGGTAGCGGCCTCCATTTGCCTCTGATAAATCAGAGAGGGTCGTGGTCCTGCAGTGGAGACTAGCCCATATTCACAAACGATGCTTGCTTAAGTGAAGCAGCAAATCGAACGCACAGCGTTGAATAGAGCTCTGTGATTGGTTCGTGTGTCACCCTGTGCGTTCACGCGCACTTTGAGGCCTCATAGTAATGTTTGTGAATACGGGCGTAAATGACTTGATGATGATAGACACCTAACGAACGGCACACCAAGGGAGCATCTTACGTATTGTATGATGATGATGATGATTTTTTTCTCTTAAATCCGTGGTTCCAGCGGCCATCTGTAGGGAACTACAAAAATCCACTCCTGTGTCCGTTTGCACGCTGTTCTTTGTCATGTGTAGGGTGGAATCCAGATGGATCATGATGATGATGATGATGATGAAATTGTGGATTTGGCCTACATTCCCCACGCTGTATACGTTTACATCTATGTAGGTATACTACCATTTTTTTATTTATTGCCAGGAGTGACGTGAAGGCCATAGAGAAGCAGATAGCGGAGCTGTCGACCAGGGTGGACGACCTCGAAAAGCGGACCATCTGCAAGGAGTGCCCGTCGCTCACATCCTCCATGTTTTGACGTGTCGTCATCGTGAATATACGTTTGGGTAAAAGTTTAACTGTCTTTTGCTTGCTTAATTAATTGAATATCACCACTTTACATTTATGTAAGACCTAAATGAATTTCCTGTCAGAAACTATAATTTTTGCCCTGAAACTCGTTGCCTATGTCTTCAAATAATTTGTAGATTATTTAGGTGTCCTAAAAGATTCTTTAATAAAAGCTCTACTTATTTAAATAAATTAGAATAGAAGGGCATTTCTACGGGGAAGACCGATCGACCTACTGGGGCGAAAAAAGTACCTTTAAAATTGAAGTACGGACTTGAAAAAAATCACACGTATTTATAGGACTCTTGACTTGATGGAGAGCATATTTAGAAGACCGCCAGGTTTTACATCTCGCCTTGAAAAAATCCGAAAGTTCAAAAACGGGCGAAATTTGGCCTAAAATGGAGTGTCCGGTTTCCAGAATTTACTCGTTTTTGCTTCATAACTTTTGAAATAATAACTTCCCCATTATGAAACCCACATTCACAGAACAAGGGATAGTTAATAAAGCTATATAAATGAGTTTCTCTATTGCAAGTCCTTGGGTTTTAATACAGTAACACATTTAAATTTTGTCCGACGTGTGTGCCTCAATTCCGTGATTTTTACTTTTGTGCTCCTATATCACTAACAACGAACAATACGAACACCCACGCCTGATTCCCATAAACTAGCAGTTGCATTCGAGTGGTCGAGCAGTATAAAAGAGGGATCAGTCGCTTTGAGGAGCATTTTTCAGAGGTTTGAAATCACTCAGAATTTTTGGTCACTGGTCATTTCTCAAACCGGTGTGCGACATTAATAATGTTCATGAAGTATTTAATGAGATTACTGCTGAATTAATTAAGTATTTAACTGATATCTGCCATTACGTTTGGTAGAAATCGTTGTAATTTATAATATTTTCGAGTAATTTGATGAAATGTGATTTTTCCTCAATTCCGTGGATCTCAATTCCGCGGAATATGGGGCATCGAATTGAGAAAACACGTACACCGAATTGATATTAAATGAAAATAGATACTTTTATTGTGCTATAAATTGTTTGTGTAACTTAAAATAATAATGAAATCAATAGAGCATAATAATAGGGTGAACTACCAATCATTGGACCGTACCAGTCATTGGATAGAAGACAATAAAACTAATTTTTTGAGGTTTCATTAAAAAAAATACACTGCTATTGCTATCTTATTAAAATAATTCTTCCAGGTTCTTCCCTTGACCTTCACCAGATCGTCGGTCTACCTAGTGGGGGCCTGCTCACTGGTCCGTGGTTTCCACTCGACAACTTTTCAGTCCCAACAGACATTATCTGTACGAGCTATGTGCCCCGCCCACTGCTACTTGATTTATGCAATTTTACGGGCTATGCCGGTCACTTTGGTTCTTTTGCCGATATTCACATTTCTGATTCTTATCAGGCTCATAGTAAGCGACCAAGTTTCACATCCATACACCATCACTGGCAACACACACTGGTAAAAGTGCTATTTTAAGCCTATTTACAGAAATAAATGAGTTTTAATGAGTTTTTTTAGTTTTTTACTTTTGTCTTAAGACGCTGCGGTATTTCAGACGTAATAGCGAAGCTTCCCGATCGATGCTTAGCTGAGTTGAATTCAGCGATAGACCTCTGTCTCAAAGTTGGACCTAACTATCTGGATTCTTCACAATAAAAGTATCTATTTTCATTTATTCTTGTCCCAGGTATACACAATTGTCAACAACTTCGAGTGTAGTCTCCAACCTTCAGCGGAGTGGGTGCATCACGGACATTTGACATGATTTTGTCTTGTCCATGTTCATTTTGTGACCCACTTGTTGAAAGGCTCTACAGAGGCCATGACTCCGATATCATCCCCGATATCGCGACTCCTTGGTCTTCTGTATAATCTGCCGTAGCGTACCTGTGTGTGTACCATAATACTAAAGCCTTTTCGGAAACAAGCTTGTTCGGAAGACTGGAAGTCGTCGACTCTGCGAGCGAGATGATTCATAAGGACTCTCGAAAACAGCTTGTAAACACGCCTCATAAGTGAGATGACTATAATGCTATCACCACACTTCTGTGCCATGCCGAAGGCGTTTTTTCTTCGAGAATGACGGAATTGAACTGCTTCTGTAGAGCCGTTAGTACCGGCGAAGCTCAGCTATAATGCCGTAACACCTGGTGCCTTGTTGTATTTCAGCTATTTGAGTGCCATTTTAATCGTGTACAAACTGACGTCCGATATAATATCTTCGGTATAGTGTCAGGTCAATCTAGCTCTTGGGTTTTGCAATATTTGTTTAATGATTAAGGTTAAGAATAAATAAACAAAGAGACCCTGTGTTATGTATTAATTTGTTTTATTTAAATAAAATTAAAATAATATATAACAATTAAGAATTTATTATAGTTCCTTATTAAAAAATTAAACATATTGATTAGGATTTTTGTTATATTCCATTGGTATTTCAGACACATAAACCTAAGATGAACCATCTAACTAATAGACCAGCAATCAGATATCAAAACGTTTTAAGTATTTATTATATTAATTATTGAAATACATTAGGCATTTCTTCATAATGTCATCAATTCTAAGTTTGCGGAGCGATTTTTATATTTGGAGATTCATTTCTCAATTCCGTGATTCATATTCTCAATTCGGTGCTCTCTCAATTCGATGCTTAACATTTCTCATAAACCACTTCACAATATTTAGTGACAATGCTATTTTTACATTCAGAATGGAGTAACATTTATTTTTTTGTAATGAAACTACACCGTTTAGCATCGAATTGAGAAAAAATACACCGTACAGTAGAAATGCCCAGAAGATAATAGAAAAACTTTATTGACACAGTATTATTTTTGCTACTTGAAAAATAAACACTTTCCCAGTTGCATGCTGAAAAATTCAGATGAATATGAATATTTGCTCCGAAGTTTGTATAAGGCGATTACAAAGTGGTAAGTATTGAAATGTGATATGTATTGAAATCATTGATATTAATATTTTGGTGTATACTTATACAGTTTTTAATCAGATTCAATCAACACCAGTCCTTTACTTGAAGCGAGGCTTCCGGCGACTGGGACCGCAATTAACTGGGACCGCGGTCCCAGTCGCCGGATGCGTAAAAATTAAATAATTTTCTTCCGGCGACTGGGACCACTCATAGACAACTTTAAAGAAAATATTATTCAATCCAAAATCGGTACAGTACTAAAATCCATGAGTGGTCCCAGTCGCCGGAAGATAATTNATGCGTAAAAATTAAATAATTTTCTTCCGGCGACTGGGACCACTCATAGACAACTTTAAAGAAAATATTATTCAATCCAAAATCGGTACAGTACTAAAATCCATGAGTGGTCCCAGTCGCCGGAAGATAATTATTTAATTTTTACGCATCCGGCGACTGGGACCGCGGTCCCAGTTAATTGCGGTCCCAGTCGCCGGAAGCCTCATTGAAGCAAGTATAGAATCGTAAATCTCAATCGACACTTGGACAGCAGGGACGTCATTAACCTATTGGGGTCCTGGGAATAAGAATCAAGGAAGTTCCTTGTTCTTCAAGTGGGGTAGTGGGAAAGAAGCTTGGGTTTGATTTATCTTGATGACACAGTCAAAAACATTTTTGCCTGCATCTCACCAGATTGAAAGTGATGATCAGTTAAAAAAATTTTTTTCGTATTGTATCTTCCATTCATTGGTTTTACTTAGTTACTTATTTATAATGTAACTAATGTGTAATATAATTACTCATTATAACTGCAAAACTAATCACCCAGTACAAATGGTACGAGTTATGTCCTCATACATAAAATATTTTATCAAGTGATTCTACTACTCTAAGAGCGCTACTTGTTTTGATATGCGATAAAAAGTATCAATTTATACTACGCAATAACACTTGTGAATAATTTATATTGTTTTATGAACCGTTGAGTGCGCTATCGACACTAAAAATCATATTGTGGTGATAAGATTCATTCAAGTGTTTCGTTGGTGGTATGGTAGGTCTGGTAGGGCTTATTCTAAGGGCTATATTTCACCGGGACACCATGACGGCGCAACAAAATGTATACAGCTCTATAGAGAGTTACTCACCTGGTGTCCGTTTGGTTGCGCAAAGCTCCATTCATTTTGTTGGTAGCGGCGACTGGTTGCGCCGCCATGGTGTCCCGGTGAAATATAGCCCTAAGTCCAGCTGGCTACACCAGGGCTTAAAGCTTGTGTGTGTAACAACATTGTTATTTGTTTCGGCAGTTGGTCATAGGCGGTTCCTTCTTCATTCCACCTTCGGCATTTTCCTCAGGTGAAATTTAGACCAAGAGCTGTGTGTGTGTGTCAAAAATATTTCAGTTAAAATAATTACAACAAAAAATTGCCCTGCATTGAACGCAAGGAGGAATTAATAAAACACAATATTTTTGTAATAAAATAATTATTATTCTATTAAAATACATTAATTAAATATTATTAACATTATTATTCATACTTAATTATTAATTTGATAAAATAACGAAATAACAGAATTAAATGGCTTAGAATATCGTCGAACTTTTGGCACGATTTGTTCTTATTCTACCTAAGTACCTTTGGTTTGGTGCTCACTCTGTCTTTCATTACTAGAATGAAATTATACTTACCTACCTATTTCATTTGGCTACCAGCGCACTTAAATAATGTACAAATCTCACAATTACAAACTATACCTACTTATTTAGCTTAGGTCTAAATATTCTTGCATCAAAAAATAAAAATATTTACATTCGTGGGCTCAATATCTGTAGAAAAAATATTTGGCATGAAATAACAACTGCAAAACCTTTTGACTTTCTTCCAGCTATAAATAAATACTTCGTTTTACAAAATATGTACTTGCTTTTAAAACTACTATTCTACAGATACTGAGGTAGGATTTACTTAAACCATTTTCCTACGTTTAAACTATTCTTTTTTAACTTGCCAAGTGTTTATTGTCTTACCTAATGGTACGAAATGCGATAGAAGCAATTTTCCCGCCGCCAATGGGTCAACGTTTTAAAAACGTCCCGATTACCAAGCATTTCCCTGAGGAATCCACTTGGTCCCTACTGTGTTCATGTTCAACTCATTTGTTCATACACACAACTGATTACTAAACTTATTTGTTCATTTAAAAAAATCGGTTCCCTCTGTCTGCAAAACTTATTGTTCTGCAGAAAAATAGCAGTTTAAAATGGCATATAAGTTACAAAGATTATGACAATAATAATGATATTTGACGTAAAATGTACAAGTCCTTGCGTTTTGCCACATTCTGCCCATCCTTCAAAAACTATCTGCCGTATTTCACACAGCACATGAGTATTCCAAATCCACTTAAATCCTCTTACCGGCCAGGATCGATTGAATTTGCGTCACCGTCTTACCCTTCGTCTCCGGAATCAAAAAGAACACAAAGAAGATGCAAAGAAACATAAAGCACCCGAAGAACCAGAAGCAGGTGTGAATACCAATGGCAGCCTTCATCAGAGGGAAGCACATCGTCACAAGGAACACGAGGAACCAGTTGATGACTACACTGAGTCCTGACGCCGCCCCGCGGAGTTCCCCCGTGAAAAGTTCAGCCATCATCATCCAGGGGATCGGACCGAAGCCCATCGAGAAGGAAATTATGAAAAGGACGAGGCAGACGAGAGGCACCCAGCCCACAAAGCTCACATCTACCCCTCCCGCTTGCAACTTGAAGTAGACCCCAAGAATGGCGAGACAGATGCCCATAATCACACAGCTTTGGAGCAAGAGAATGCGTCTTCCCGCGCGTTCGATGAGGAGCGATGAGACATATGTGGCGAGGGTTTGCACGACGCCAACGATGATAGTGGCGATGGCAGGGTCGATGTTGGAGCCAGCGGATTGGAAGATGTTGTTGGTATAGAAGATGACGGCGTTGATGCCGCTGAATTGCTGGAAGAACATGAGTCCCAGCGAGCAGATGAGCGCTTTGCGTGGCGCGCGGCTCTTCACGATGCTGAGGATGCCGCCTTGTTGCCGCGACGCGTTGTCTATCTGCAAGAAGATGAACAATCTGATAAGATAGAATAGAATAGAAAACTTTTTATTTGAAAGAAAGGTATACAAGCAGGCAAGACATAGATACAAACAGAGATAAATATACAAGTGGACAGTTAACTGCTTGTGCCCCTCTCGCTCGCAGATAGGTTCTGTGTTCAGGGTAGACTAATGGACTCAACAAATATGTTATTTCAAACTGGAAACAATATCGACAGTATGAGATGTGGTGTGGTGGTCCAACTTATCTTAAAGACTCGGCTCTTAATTTAAAAAAATATATATAAACAAAAAGCCCAAAAGATTATTGATGATTAAGAGGAACTTACGTCTTTCTGCATATCCTCAAGCTCAGCAGAGATGTCGGCGTCCGGGCCCCGCAGCCAGCGAAGGGCCTTCTCCGCGTCATGGCGCCGGTTCTTGCCCAGCAAGTATTGAGGAGTTTCGGGCATCCACCTGGAACCAATCACGTAATATTAAACTGTTAACTCCTAATGGGGAGGAGGACTGTAAAGGTTCGGCCAAACCAACGCGTGTAGATCGCATCGGCGATGGCGATCACTGCGCGTGCATAGGTCGCCGGGACAGGACGCGTTGATGTGAACTCATCGCTACAAATTGTTGGTTTGGCCAAACCTTTATTCAGTTAAGTAATTATTTAAACTATTCATCAATTGGGAATATATCGAAGCACTATTGTTAAAACGGACTGAATCGTTCATATCATAAGAGTTCACCATCAAGCAACGAATGTCATAAAAAATATCGTCGCAGAGTTGATGGCCGCTGGGCCAGAAAAGGTCTCGAGAGGCAATCACGGGCCGAAAGACGTAGTGTGGGCAGGCCGCCCACTAGATAAACTGAGGATCTGGTGAAAGTCGCGGGAGGTGTCTAGATGCGGGCGGCGTAGCACCGGTCGTTGTGGAAATCTTTGGGGAAGGCCTTTATCAAGCAGTGGACGTCATTTGACTGAAACGAACGAATTTAGTAAAACATAAATGTGTAGAAATGTTCCCGTGCTGAAAACAGCTCTGAACTCACCAGAAAACTATAACCAGAAGAGGCGGCAGCACAGCAGATATGATGGACAGCGCCCGCCAGTGGGTATAGGCGCCCACGACGAAGGTGAAAAGGATGCCCACGGTCAGGAAGAGCTGGAAGAACGCCCCGAGGGACCCTCGGATGGAGGTCTCGGCTATCTCGCCGATGTACATGGGTGCTGCCACGCAGATACCACCTGGAAATGAGGTTATAAGAATTAGGTACATTCTGCAGTTAGGTGCTTTAACACGTTGAGTGCGAAACCAGGTCTATAGACCTTGTGTACGTCTCGCTTACCGTGCGGCTAAGAAAATTATAGTCTTCCTTGTCGTGCGAAAGGCATAACTTCAATTGGGTCCGGTGTAGGAAAGTGATGAATATATATCTATGATGTATTCTTAAAATAGAATCCAATGATGTACCTACCTTAATACCAGGTTTTTAGACCTGGTACCGCACGGAAGTAATAAAATGTCTTCACAATGCGAAACCAGGTCGAAGCACCTTGTACCCTGCGCACCTGGTACCGCACCCCACGCTAGCTTCGTGCAGCCAGTGTTGCCTCGCATTCGTAAGAAACGCACATGTCGACATGGCGTCAAGAGAAACAAACAAAATCAAAACTGCAAATTGATTATAATTTAATTTGCTACACGATTTATTGCTAATTTAAATAATGTTTTTCGTGACAAACATTTGAAGTTGTAACTAAATGTTATTAAATAATATGTTTTCTTTAAATCTAGCTTATTCAAGTATTTATGCACGTATGTCTTATTTGTAAAATATTTAGACTAAATTATTAAAACATCATTGTTTGTTATTTTTTTAAAATTTTATTAAAATTTAATTTAAACTATCGATATTTGTATTTCACATCCCTAGAATACCCACCAGACTTCCCTACTTCAGTGCGGCACAGGGTGCATAAGCCTTGTATTTTGAATATAGCTATAATTTTTATACTAAACAAGTTATTCACGAACGCCTTCAGGTGTATGTCAATAAATGCATTATCATTAATATTCAAAGAAAAAAAACACAATATCTTTTAACATGAAGCCAAAAATAAAATTAATATATCTTAAATATTACAAGGTCTTTAAGCCTTGTGCCGCCACAATGTAAGTTTTAATACCAGGTTTACTGACCTTGTACCGAAGGAATGGAAAGTATTAGAAAGTTACTGCCGCAGCAAAGGTGTTAATCATTTCCTGAAGAAGGCTTTCAAGAACTACGTAATTGATTTTGCTATGTTGCCCCTAATTGAGAGACAGCAGAATAGCTCAGATTTTTTTTTTAATAAAGATTATTAGCAATTTGTATTGCCCAAATTACTAATAGTCCCATTAGCCCCGCGTGTTAAGCTAAATGCTTGTGTTACGAGTGGGCTCACCACAATAGTCGAGCGGCGGTGGGATTCGAACCCGCGTTCCTCGGATCTCGAGTCGGCCACTCCGACCCCTTCACCGTTCGGCTATCGTGGCTATGATTCTCTGTAAATCACGTAGCTCTATCTGTCATGTGTGTTATATTAAGGCTGTGTTGCACCACCTAACTTTAACGGTAACTATGACGAACCCGTGCTTTTTGTATGGAATTTGACAGATTTTTAACGTTTGTCAAAGTTAAAGTAAGATGGTGCAGCTCAGCCTAAGACTATTCAGAGGTCCAAGGTTCTGTGGCAGTAATTAACATTCGGATTCAGAACAAGTCATATTTTTGGAATTATTTTATTATCATTACGACTTACCAGTGCCAAGACCAGCGAAGACCCTGGCCGCGATCAGCATGCCGGCTCCATTGGCGAAGATTATGAGCAGCCAGTTTAGCATGAATGGAATGGACAGAATTAGGATAGTTGGCCGCCTGCCAATCTTCTCGGCGAGGAAGCCCACTGGCAGAGCGATGATGAGGGCACCTATGGCCAGTATTGAGGATACTGTTCCACCTGTAAAGCAACAAGAGAATTAAAAGTGTGGAAGATTTATAGCATTCATCATCAATTGCATATTTTGAGCCCGATCCTCGACTATCTTATAGTTTCTAGCGACAAGGTAAGCGGTTGTTAGCATTTGAAAGAGAATATCCGGATATTTGTATACAGTATTCAACTGGCTTTTATTTCAGTAAATAAATTCTGAGGAACACAAAAATCGGAACCATTTGAAAATAATCTTAAACTTGCCAAGTTTTAGCAACTCTATCCATATTATGCCACTTTTTTCAGGAAAGACGTCAATCTACTTCTCTGTGTTGTTGTATTTGATCTTTTAAAATCATAATTCGGGATAAAAATGCGTTACTTTAAAAGTAGTATAGATTTAGATACCCTGTTGTAAAGGATTTTTGCCATGTATGGCTCAAGATATAATAGAATTAGTGCCTTTTTAACACGCTTTTATTAGGTCGTCGTGTATGTAACTAACTATGAAATGGAATCTTAGAATCTGAATTACACGCACTTCTAATTTTGTATCATCATGAAACTTGGCAATTATTATGTAGATTGGATGACAATACAATATTATGGTACCATCGAGCTGGTCTGATGATGGGACTAGAAGGTGGCCATAGGAACTCCGAAACGAAACGCGCGGCGGAATCGCATCGAGTTTGGGTTCATTTGATTTGTCTTTTCGAGCACTTTAAGTACTAGATGATAACGTGCAGCAATTAAAAGCGTGTTCTTAGTTTTTTAAACTATTAATTTATTATTCCTGTGATGCGGATTTCGGCACTAAGGGCTATATTTCACCGGGACACCATGGCGGCGCAACCAGTCGCCGCTACCAACAAAATGTATGCAGCTTTGCGCAACTAAACGGACACCAGGTGAGTAACTCTCTTAGAGCTGTATACATTTTGTTGGTAGCCGGCGACTGGTTACACCATTACACCATGGCTACATAGAACGAGCCTACACTTACATGTCACTGAAGCAAATAACATTGTCAGATCAGCTGATGGGCTCTGGCAGGCAGCCAAAGCCATACGTATTGTTTTGAACGTGCCCCGTGGGTGTGACTGCGAAATTTATTTTTATTTCGCATATTATCGTAAATAGCAAATCCGGATAAACAAGTTTGCGGCTCTAGGATAAGCTGCGTATTGGTTTACATTTTTTTCAGGGGCACGGTTCAAAAGTTAAAGATTTTTCGCTACACGCGATTTTAAACAAATGCAGAAATTGGATCGTTTGTAATAAGAGTAACAAGCTCAGATTTAGACATTGGTGCAAACGCTAATGCCACGTATAGTTTTGTTGAAAACCCGGGTTAAATGTAGGGTGCCACTATCATGAACTGTATGAAAACCAATACTTTTGTACAATTGGGAAGGTACTGTTGCTTTAACTTCGTCAACAATTTTCGTGATCGCGTGTCTCTACACCTATTATACCTACGTCGTTTAACAGCCGCTATTGGTATCTCCTACTATCTATGACTCAGCTACGTTCTACAATGTCTGATGATCCAATAGGTCTTTATCCAAGCATGTGATGTCGACCGGAGCGAATGATTTGATGACTTAAGACGTTGGGAGCGCCATCGGGCACGCGGCCAGTTCAGCAAAAGATTTACAGACTACGATAAAGTAGTGTAGAGGCTTTTTTACGATTTACAGGGTTCATTTGTTGTGCATAATTTATTGAATCTTTCGTGTAGTGAACTGTCAAACTGTATCTATTTACTTACAGTAAGTAATACCCATTTGTTGCGAACTGTGTAGAGTTTTATTCTTAAGCGCCGTTTCATAATACGGCCACGTACTTTATGACAGCACAATCACAGCACTTTCCATGGTTTATAACTTTATAGGAACACATTTTGATAGAACTATTCGCCGAATCTTAGTCGACGGTTGGCTTTAGGAAAGAATGTTTTGACGAACTCAAAACAAAATTATTTTTAATAATACTTATACTCACTGTCATTAGAATCCAATAGAAATTCAGCAGGCTGTCCTATAGAGTTGATCAGGATAGTGTCATTTGAATCCTCCGCAGACCTGGCCAGGGCTGGGATGGTGGCGTCTGTCCCATTAACCGGGACGTAAGGCTGCAGCTGCGGCAGCGCCGGTGATGTCCATGCCAGGATGGTTCCAGCGATGACGGCTCCGATGGCAGCTGGAATAGAAAATAACATGGTTGTTTTGTAATTTTGGTCGGTCATTTTGGAACCACCCGACCATTTATGACCAGAAAAGTGCTAGAAATCCACATATCACAGAAACTAAAGGAAGATGTGACAAGGGGGCGGGGCCGGTGTCGCAGCTATAGTGCCAAAAACAGAACACATTGCTCGTGAAAGCAATGATGAGTATGATGACAGCAGCGACGTCGAAGACGAGGAAACCCCGAATCACATGGACATGGATGTCCGTAGTAAATAAGGACCTTAAAGAGGTCCAAGTCAACAAAGAGACGACTTAGGACGGAGACGCATGACGCGGAGGGCCGACCCCAAATAAAATGGGAATAGGCCGGCCAGGCAAAGAAGAATTTATTTTGGAATATATTAGACCTTGAATCTATTGGTGGACGTCGTAAAAGAAGGGACAAATTTATTAACGAACATCAGCCCCTTATCCCGTTTGGCCCGGGCCAAATCCTCCATTTGCCTCTGGTAAATTAGAGAGTCAATGCTCCTGTACTGGAAACTAGGTGATGATGAAGAATCGTCAGTTCATTAAATACGAGGTTTCAACAAGACTTCCGAAATTATTAGGTGGAAATTGTATTATTATGTGCAAAATCTTATGTATGATATTATTGTAATCTCTACAAATCTGTGAACATTGGTATTATTACTTCGGTGATCTAAATATGCGTGAAATGGAGTCTGGCAACGAGCCTGTCCCAGCAATATAATAAATAGATCTTTGCTTGAATATTCTGATACTCCTATCCCAAAATTTTTGGATTACGAATGTAAATGTGTACTTAAAGGTAAACAGTTTGTAACAAAGTTTCTGCTCTGCTAGGTTGGTAGAGGGTAGGGGCTGTTCCAAGTCCGTTTGGCTAGTTAACTGCCATCTTTGTCGCTATAACAACAATTTTAACAGCATTTTTGTGTTTCGGCAGTTGGAGATAAATAGCCAGCTCCTCTATGGTTTCTAGCTATTGAATTTAAAATAGTTTGGGCACTTCTGGTTTAGTTAGATGTGTCTTTAGTTTACACAGATAGTCTGAAGTGGAATATACTCGTATAGTGTAGATGTATAGAAACAAATCAAGATTCAGACAGACTCAATCATGAAGAGCATTCCATTCATAAATTTTTTGCTCGATCGATTTTTTCTCGACTGTTATCAGTTATCGATCTGTTTACAAAGTCACGTGGGAAGATATTTTTAAACCAAAAGTTGTGCCAAACGTCTGTCTACTCGTACTTTATTATAAGGTTGTAGTGTCCGACCGAATGTTCGGTTTCGGTTTCGTTTTCGGTTGAGTTTCGGTAAAAACACGAGTTTCGGTTTAGTTTCGTTTTCGGCGGCAAACTTGCCGAAACTACGACCGAAACCGAATATGCATTCGGGAGTTTCCGCGCTGTTATCGGTCATGTTCCCGAACATGACCGATAACGCCCCGGCGTTGAATGAGTGAATGAATCCGATCAGAGCCAATTTTATTTATTTAAACTTTAATGCCAAAATAAATTTGTACTTAAGGCGAACTTAATGCACTAACTAAAGCATTCTCGACCAGTTTACCTTTGGGTTGAGCAGAAAAGAAATTAGTTTGGCGGTAGTTCTACTGCAAAGAGAGAGAAAAAAAACAAATATGCTACATAAATACATAAATAATATGTAAAATATACAATAATAAATAAATACATACATAGATAGATGATTGAGTTAAACTGAAATTACAATTCATGAAGGTGAAATCATTTGAAGGAAGTGGTTATGGACAGATTTTTTAAAAGAAAACTTATTAGACGCTTGCCTGGTCTCTTCAGGCAGAGAGTTCCAGAGCCTTGTGGCCTGGAGACGGAAGGAGTCGGAGAGAAAACCAGTTCGGTGAAGAGGAGTGGAAAGAACGGACTTGTTGAAGGAGCGGAGCTGACGTGAGTGCGTAGAGCTGAGAAGGTTAAACTGAGACTTAAGATAATATGAAGGAGAGTTGGGATCATTTAGAATTGAAAAAAGGGTAGAGAGAATTCTGACTTTGCGTCGAAGCGGGAGAGGCAGCCATTGAAGCTGAGAACGGTAAGCGGAGATAATTATGGTCATATTTACGCAGACAAAAAAAATACAGCTGGCATTGTTGACAAGGCGATCCAACCATCTGATTTATCTAAAGCTAAGTGAACAGTGCAATAAATTTATATTCACTAGGAAGTTCCGAGCCTAGAAGGTAAACTATTACTGGTTTGAAACTACACTTGTCTTACCATGAAAATCTATGTGATAGAGAAAACAATAAAGACTGACTGATTATAATAACGTTTTCTTTATTTTTCCCTCAAAATATGAGCCTTGTAAGGAAGTTTCGGTTTCGGTTTCGGCCGAAATAGACACCGTTGCCGAAATTCGTTTTCGGTTTCGGTTTCGGTCGTAAGACTACTTTCGGTCGGACACTATAAGGTTGTTAACACTAGGTTATTTTAGTGCGTCACAATCGTTGTATGGAAATTTGGGAAAATGTTAATGTTACTTTGGATTTTGTCTGATTATCTTCATTGTAGCATAAAGTATAGTTTTAGCACTAGGCTATAGAGACATAAAAGTAATAATAATAGTCAGGCATAAATCATTATACCTGAAATATGAAATACCACCGCATTGCATCGGCTATGGCATATACCCATCAGGAGTGCCTTTTATGTGCCAATTTAGGCAAATTAAATCATAAATAACAAGTCTTACATCATTTTCATGGTGAAACAATTTGTCTGAAAAGAAGTACGGTTCAAATTGAAAAGTAGAAGAAAGATTGATATCCAACATTTCTGGACAGACGGACAGAAAGAAGTAAGTTTTTTTTGTAGTAATATAGAATAGTTACTGACTCTACCTACAGCTTATCTGTGGGTACCAGGGGACTCTGCCCCCCAACAGCTGTCAAGGACAATGAACTCGCTGAGCGCGCATCTGATAACTGATAATAGCGTCCGGCTGGCGCGCGCACGTGGTGTCCTTGACAATTGGTACCGAAGAGTTTGAATGAATTTGGATCAAGTGAAATAAATTAAGATGCAGCTGTTATAAGAGCTATTTTGCTCCAACACTGTGTAATCGGTTGTGCTGTCGACTGTATATAGATTTGTTTAGATCCTTTTTTTTTTCAGGAAATTGCACGCTGCAATACAGGCCCATGTACCCTAAAGTCAAGGGGCCGTTGTCCTCTAAAAACTGTTGTAACTTGGTTCTATTATATTCTAATCTCTAGTATAAGAGGCTGAAAGTGGTGAAATGGGTTCTTCCACCACTTCTCAGCACCAATTGTTTTCTTTGGCCTGATCATTACTTTCCATCAGAAGTGCAGGCTAAGAGAAAGAAAGAAAGAAAGAAAGAAAAACATTTATTTGGTTCCAAATTAAAATATAACACACAGAATCAGATAACAAACAACAAGTAGGTACAAGTTAGAACCAAAATTGGCCACCGCTCAGCTCTGGAGTGGTAAATAAAACCCAGAACACGACGCTGTTATTCTGCGATGACCATTTTTGGAGAGAGCTGGATACAAACATGAGACAATACACAAAAAACAAACAAAAGAGAAAAAGCAAAATAAAAAAATACAATATTAAAAGAAAAAAAAAGTAAATAGATGATGCCCAACATTATCCGTCTCAGTCATGACTCATGACGCTGACAGGACGGCACCACCATCATATAGGGTTTTAGCAAGAGCTTCCCCGTTGTGGGTAAAAAAGGGGCCAGCTATATTAAGATGTAAAGATGATAAAGGGTCTATTTTACTTTGATCACCTGGATTTGATCACTCAGCTGATCAAAGTGGAGTGCAAGCGAAACTTTGGTGTCCTTTGATCACACATGGTTAGAAGTCCACTTTGATCACCTAGGTCGTGGGCGATTAGATAGATCAGGTAGGTATCCCTGGGCGATTAAAGGACACCAACCAAAGTGTTGCCTGCAGTTCACTTTCATCAAGAAGAAATCCAGGTGAATAACCTGGAATAGACCGTTATAAGAATCTTGGTTAATATCTCAGATCATAGAAAGAGAATAGATATGAAGTCGCGCGTAACTACAACGAGAACCAGTGTCCCCACATTTCCCCCACCACAGCTCCCACACACACATTCAACTGTGTAAAAACAAAGCGACTGAGAGTCTACGACAACATGTGCAACCGGCTTAAAAGTGCTGTGATTGGCCAGAAGGCATGCCTTATGGCCAATCAATGGCCGCGTGACGTGACGCACACTTTGAAAACGCTAGTGAGAGAACAAAGATAAAATGGAGTCGACAAGATATCGATACTTTAAATCGCTAGGGGCAAGGCTCGATACTGGTTTCACAAAATGCTTATGTATGAAAACCTTTTTATTATTATACGTTATTATTAACTGCTATCACGCATTTACTTTTTAATTATGGCGATCTGCGTACCGCATATGCTTATCAAAAATAATGCCTATATTAGGCTTTCAACTAGCTCTTATAGTAATTACATAGTTGACAGTTACTAATTACTTCATCACGTCATGATCCCCTACTCCACGTCTTTCAATTTTATCTGTCTCCAATTAGGTAGGTACCTAGTTTGACAAGTGTTAAGTATAAAATCATTATCACTACAAATGTAATTTGTAATGAAACACGATATAGCTACCTATCTTATTTTTCGCTCATTGTAATAGTAATAATTTAAAGGAACTTTTTGTAACTAGTTAGTAGTGTTGCTGTAGTCGTTTTTTTAAGGGTATGCGTTATACGGGTAATTATTTAGTTTTCAGGTAACTACTTCTCTATTAAGTCATAAATAAGCTTATTTGTTTTTTTTCAGATGCCTTTTAAAATAGTGCAAACGACCGAAAGGGATGAAGGAATGTTCTACGGAACTTCTTGACTCACACAACAACCGATTGTACTGTATTTTGTGTATGAGGTGTATCATTTTTTGGAACACGTTTTGCATTTCTTAAACCAAAT